GGGTAGAACATGTATAAAACAACTGAACTCCATTATATGGAACAAGAAATTAACAAAGAAAACAAAAACAACAATATTTAAGACAATAGTAGAAAGCATAATTACATACGGAGCAGAAACCTGGCTATTGAACAAAAAGAGCAGATCTAAAGTAACCGCCGTAGAAATGGAATATTGGAGAAGGTGTTGCCAACGAACACGCATGGATAGAATACGTAACGCAGAAATCAAGAGGCAAATGAATGTAGAAAAAGACTTATTAACTACAATAGCAGAAAAACAGCTTAAATGGTATGGTCATGTCAGACGAAGTGACGATAGACGGTGGATAAAGAAAATCACAGAGTGGAGCCCTACGGGACGTAGAAAGAGAGGAAGACCCAGAAGATCGTGGAGGGATGAAATAGATGAAGCCATGGAGGAAAGGGGGTTGGAAGACGGAGATTGGAATGACAAAGATGAATGGAGAGTCTGGTTGAGAGAGGGAAAACGGCGCGAGCTGTAACAAACCCCATACATATATATATATATATATATATATATATATATATATATATATATATATATATATATATATATATATATATATATATATATATATATATATATATATATATATATATATATATATATATATATTATTTTTTTTTTTTTTTACCCACTTAAATGTCGGAAACTATGACGGATAGGTATAGTACTTATTTATAATGAATTTGAAAGCAAAACAAAGGGCAGTCTATTTAAAAAAATGAGATACGATAGTTTGACATGTCTGCATTTCTGCCCAATATTTTAAACGCCATTGCTAACACATTTAGGGTTTAGGGTAGCCGTAGAATAATGTTATTCAAATGTGGGTGGGTGGGTGACACAAGAATCCATGTAAAGTTGTTCTTAAGTGCAATATGGGCTAAAGGATACCTTAATTGGTTTGAGCATATTTCTTTATACTTATTGCCGACAATTTCGTGATATTTACGAACCTTCCATCTTGCTCGACGTCGCGTAAGATGCGATAGGTCGATGTTCTGATCAAATTCGTAATTTACTGTACGTGTAAGGTCCACTTGCGGCTTGTTTATTTTTTTAGCGCTAATCGCTTCCGAGTTGAGACACGCGCTAATCCCAGATGTCAGAAGTTGCGAAAAACGACGATATTACACGAATTCCGGGCGTTCCCGTTACGTACCCGCATTTAGCGCTAATTATAAATATTTGGTTCACCAAAGTTGGGACATACGTGCCACGAGAGATGACGTTTGGTTTATTTTCGTTAATCGGAAATATCCTATTTTAGCCCGGCTCTAATAGGAAATTGATGGCAAGCTCGTGAAATGATTCCAGAAAATATTAGCATAACGTTAAAATTAAAATTAAATTAATTTAAATTCGTTAAGATTCAAAGAAAATAACAAAACGGATTTACATGACTTACATGAAGGATTGTCCTAAATATGGGTACGATAACCTTATCTGATATCCAAGAGTAATGGTCATAACAGTTTAACACCAAAATGCCTTTTTTTAGTAGTAATTTTTTTGGATGCTCCACGACCCAAATGACGAAACTCTTAGGGCTCGAACTCAGTCGCTATTTAGATTATTTGGACAAGCAATTCGTAGAACACTCTGTTCCATCAAGAGAGATATCGGTTCACGAATCTGTTGTTGGATTTAAGGGTAAAATAATTTTTTATACTTACAATCCTAACAAGCCTACGAAATGGGGGATAAGAGTTTATGTAATGTCGGATGCTAACACCGGATATGTTATGATTTAGTGAGACATAATTTACCTGTAAGTACAAGAATAGTGTTACATCATAAATTATTAGACCTGACGACAAACGCTCTAACTTGTGGGAATCATTTTGGTATCCTTTTATAGAGGAAGGACCAAAGTATTTAACACATGAATTTCGAATTCTCAAAATTATAAACAAATAAGATATAAAATATTCAAAATTGATTATTGATTTTAAGCCGATTTTTCCATTTAAAATGAGATTTTAAGGTTGTTTCTCAACCCATATGAATCCGAGAAAGTTGAAATTTTTACGAAAGATACACACCAATGAGGTCTATTTGCAAATACTATAACGTACCCCCCAACCCCCCATTTTCGGTAAATATTTGCATTTTATATTTTCGTATTTATCATGCTTTTCTTCAAAAATTTTAGATTTTTAATTTTTTAAAAATATCTACGTTTCTCCCAGAAGGTTGAAATTTTTATCAAAGTTAGAGGTCAATGAGGTCTATTCGCAAATACCATAACGTCCGTCTCCCGCCCTCCCCATCATTAATTAATATTCTCAAATTATCATTTTCATGGATATCGTGGTACTCCTCAAAAATTCCCATTTTTATTTTTTTTAAATACCCGCATTACTTCGAAACGATTGATTTTTTTTTTAAAGATGGAGGTCAATGAGGTCTATAAATAAAAATTATAAAGTCTTCTTCAGCTCTCACCATTTAATTATAAATAATAATTAATACAAAAACCGTTCCTAACAAAGAGCCATACAATTTGTGTAAGATCTTTTGGTATCATTACATAGAGAAAAGACTCAAGTATATAATGCATAAATTTAAAATCCTTAAAACTATAAATAATGGAAATATAAAACATTTTTTGAAAAAAATCCGTTTTTTTTGTTAATATTTCGTCCCCCGGAAGGACTAAGAAACTTATAATTAAACAACTGACTATTTTTTTTGAATACCCCCCCGACCCCCTATTTTCGTGCCAAATTTGAGCCGGATCGGTGAACATCGACCTCGATCCAAATTTTCATGAGTGTTTGGTCGTGATTTTGTCCAAAAATTTGTGTTTTAAGTTTTTTAAAATACCTACGTCGCTCCGAGAAGATTGAAATTTTATCGAAAGATGGCGGTCGATGAGGTCATAATAATAATAATAATAATAATAATAATAATAAGGATGTAGAGATATAAACTAACTTATGGAAGTATATTCAACACATGGGTTTTAGATGTTAAAAAATTGACAAAAGGCAAGTTTTAATGGACTCTTTTAGAATTCGGTAATGGCGACTGGAATATCTAGAAAAAATTAGGAGAACAACAAAGGCCAATTATTTACTTGGACGAAACCTGGTTCGACACTTATGATACCCCGGAAAAGGGTTGGGTTGACTCAACTGATAAGTGTAAAACAAACGCGCCATCAAGATGAGGTAAAGGAATAAGTAATTTGCATGCAGGCTCTAAAGATGGTTGGATTCCAAATGGACTTTCTCTGTCTGCGAAAAATATTAAAAATTCTTCTCTGGATTACCATGAAGACACCACCGCTGATTTACTTGAAAGTTGGTTTAAAACCAAACTAGCTCCAAACATTTCTCCTAATAGCGTAATTGTAATTTATCAAGTAGACAGTTGACTAAAACCAACAATCCAAAACAACATGTATAATATCGACATTTATTTTCACGAAGATTAGACCAAAAAGCAATTAATTGAGGTTCTACAAAGCTTGAACCTACAAAAGGCACCAAGTGAAATCTGCCATTCGTCGTAACAATGTTTTTCCCCGTGTTAACTCCAATGTCCTCAAACTTATAGAAACCGAAGTTGTTAACATCCCTCAGCAAAGTTGGGCAAATTCTGTTAAACATATAGAAAAAGCGACCAATCGTATATCCACATTGCAAATAATATAGAACACGCGATGATGGTGATAGTGATACTGATATATTATGTGAATAATTTTAAGTAATTTAAGTACGTAATAAAAATAATTTGTAATTCTATTTTAGATTTAAACATAAATACATACACAAATAAATAAATATTGTTTAGTATCTTTCCTAACAAAACTCCAAATAATTAAATCCTAAGCAAAGTACGGACCTGTTCGGCCGTACTTCATTCTTACAGCTTGCCAGGGTTTTTCCTTAATTCGTATCAGTTAGTCACTTTCTTATATCTATGAACAGACTTTACCGTGTAAGGGAATAACAGACACACAATAGCACGGAATGGAAAATACTGGAGGAGGTCTATGCTCGACAACGGAGAGGTAATGATCTTATACCATCCTGTATAACAAAATGTGGACTAAAATAATTTTTGCATTGTGCAAAATTAAAAAAAAAATGGATTTTCAAGATTTCGAGCAAGGCATTTAGTTGTAAATTATTGTTGGCCCGGATATACCGTAAATGGTGTTTAACTTTCTTATTTTCATTGAAACACTCTATATATTATTACTTGTTGGACGCATTGGAAAATTCTAGACATATTTCATATACCCTAAGCTGGGGGATATTTTTTATGGAAGCCCTGTATTTTTATAATTTTGCCCTATTTAACATTGAAAAGGACTACTTTGTATTCGGTTGCAGGCTCTCAATATTTACAGTTTTCAAGATATTTTCAATCCATCCGAGTCACCCATAACCATTTAATATTTAGAACGTTATTTGTCTCTAATAAATTCTAATCGAAATCGCAATAACCGTTAGTGCCCATTTTTGCCTTTGCGATGTGGAAAATCTTTTGGTGCTGTTTACAAAAACGAGGAAAGCCATTTATTCAAGTCAAAAGCAAAATTACAACCTAATCTCGACGCCAGCGCAAATTGAAAATTGTTGGCAGCCAACCGGCAATTTTCAAAAAGGACAAATTAACGGGAACCACGATAGTGTCACGTGACGGGAAATTTTTGACACGGAAGAAAATGAGTTACTTTAGGGTTGCTAGAGCTTTAGAGCGCTATAAGCAAGGATCTCCTTTATAATTTCATAGCGTTGACCTGAATATTTAGAAAAACGTTTCCAGAGGCCAGTCGAAATGTTCGGGCAGCCAAAAATAAACTTTTTTATAAACAAACTCCGATACGTGATTTTAAAAGCCCCATTTTAGCGAAAATTTAAAGGAAACATCGGCCCGATGTGAGATTTTATGCTAATATTGGCTTGACTTTAAAAATCGTCGCAAAAACTACTTAGCTGCCTCAATCTTGGACTTACCGCTCGAAATCGTCACACAACAAACGTCGCACAATTCGATCAAGTGCGCGTACTGACTGCTTCAGGTCTATTATTCACACGCTGGACGTGCGTCAACCGTGACGTATCAAGCCCAATCGAAGCTGAGATCGTACTAAGAACTTTCAAGAGAGGCGCCCGAGAGTTTTTCAGACCCGGTGGTGGGGACGGGGCTCGCTGAAAGCTGAAAACGACCGCCAGATGCGGACGTTTTTTCCGGTCTCGATTCAGGTACTACGAGACGCGTGCAGGTCTCGACTGTTGGCGAATTTTTAATTTTCTGGATGCGACGAAAGACGTAACACCTCACCCTTCCGGTGTTTCGAATTTTTAGTTTTAATTTTTTGCATTATTTGTACACCCTCGCAAAGGAGAGAGAAGAGAGAAGTGCTATTAGGGATTTTTTTAAAAATAAATTTATCATTCTTTTTTGTTGGATAGAATTCACTGAAAGACACTTTCAGATTTTCTCAAATATGAACTAAACAGACTTTGCAACGCTGTATCCTTTTAATTAAAAAGGAATTTTAATTGTTATGTAATACCGAAAATAACAGAAATGTCAAAATTGATTGACGTCAGCATACTGTGTCCTATGTAGACCCAAGTTTGCCATGGAGAAGGGAATATTAGACAGTCAAATTCACTCGCCAATTTACGTTTTAATTTTGTTTACATTATATCGTTCGAACTCTAAGATTTATAAATGCTGTTGATTAAAAAATAAATGTACCGTAAGGAGTCTTTTTAATCAATATTTTTGAAATTTGTATAATTAACATTTGTAATATCTTAAAAGCACATACGAATTAATCGCTATTTACAAGGTTCACAATATTTTTTTTTTTTTTAACACTAAAAACTATGGTCATTGGTCTAGTTACTTTTAGGTAGTACTGAACACAAATAGGTTGTCATTTTCAATTTGGAAAAATTCTTTAAAAGTACCTCTCTCTCTGGGTCGATGCGATACGAAAAAACCGTTTCATTTCTTTAGTAAGATTTATCCAGCGGAAAAGAATTGTCAAGCATTAAACAAACATTCTACAGGAGTAATGCTTAAATGAACTTGACACTTTAACACTTTTAACGAAATCTCTAATAGCTCTTCTCGATAATTGACATCAAAAATTAATCCCAGTTGAGCATCGCTTTAGGTTGATATAAAGAGAAACATAACTTTTTAGTGCGTTTTTGAGGGATCTATCCAATAAAAAAACGATATTTCATCCTGTATTGAAACATTATAAAAATTGGTATATTTGGGTTCTATGTATTCCTGAATAATAATCCCCAATAGCACTTCTCTCTTTTCTCACTTTTGTTACATAGTCTCAGTTGGCCATGACTTTAAGTTGAAGCGAAAAGCAAAACGAGGTTTTAGTGCATTTTTTAGAGATCTTTCTCGCAATTTTTTTTTTATCAAAATTGATCCAGAAACAAAGATTTTACAAGGTGTACAGCTTGTAGGGGGTGTTTTTTTTCGATATGTAGAACTTTAAGTTGCAATAAAACAACGATGAATTATTCGATTGACATGAATTTTATTTATCCGAAAGATAATCTTGTGGCATTACATTTTAAATATGATTTCTGGCATATGACCGCCACGGCTGGGGTGGATGTAGTCCAATCTGGACGTCCAATTTTCGATGAATCTTCCCAACATTTGTGGCCGTATATCGGCAATAACACGACGAATGTTGTTTTCCAAATGTGGCTTATCCGCATAGACCAATGACTTTACATAGCACCACAGAAAGTAGTCTAGCGGTGTTAAATCACAAGATCTTGGAGGCCAATTCACAGGTCCAAAACGTGAAATTAGGCGGTCACCAAATGTGTCTTTCAATAAATCGATTGTGGCACGAGCTGTGGGACATGTTGCGCCGTCTTGCTGAAACCACATCTCCTGGACATCATGGTTATTCAATTTAGGAATGAAAGAGTTAGTAATCATAGCTCTATACCCATCACCATTGACTGTAACGTTCTGGCCATCATCGTTTTTGAAGAAGTACGGACGAATGATTTCATCAGCCCATAAAGCGCACCAAACAGTCAGTCTTTCTGGATGTAACGGTATTTCGACATACACTTGAAGATTAACTTCGCTCGAAATGCGGTAGTTTTGTTTGTTGACGTAGCCATTCAACCAGAAGTGTGCTTCATCGCTAAAAAAAATCGGGAACAACGGCAATCTCGTTTTGGGCCCATTCGACGAATCTACGCCTTACTTGATGATCGTTTGGCTTCAATGCTTGCACGAGTTGGATTTTGTAAGCACGTAAACCAAGATCCTTCCGCAAAATCTTCCATAAAGTGGATGGACACAGATCCAATTCCTGTGCTCGATGGCGGATGGACTCATTCGGGTCTTCCTCAATGCTACTCTCTACAGCAGCAACAGCTTCTTCTGTACGCACCGTACGGCTTCTCTGGGGATGCGAGTTATCAATAAGTGCGAAAACGTTCCATGGTTAATCGAATTAACTGCTCTAATGGACGGTTATGCACAGAACCATTATTTTCGAAATAAAATTGCACTATTTGCAAGCGCTGTTCAGGCGTGAGTCTATTCATGATGAATTGCCAAACCAAACTGAGAATAAATCACTTGACAGCTGTTAAATCGGTCGCCATCTTGAGTAGAAATGCCAACTTCAAGTTCTATACATCGAAAAAACAGCACCCTTTATAAGGGACCTGCAAAATTCAAAAACCCTGTATATTATTTACTACTTTGAACTATTTTACTGTAAGCGTATTTTTGCAACACTGGTGTTTATGTTTACTGTAATCAAGCATTGAACCGTGAGCGAACATCAAAATAGTCAAATTTAATTAGTGGTTTTAATTACGATTAACTTGTGCTGGAGACCTCTAATTAATCTGTTATTCTTGATGCGGCGTGCGGATGAAGCCCGACGTTTATGGCATGGTAATTTTACTTCCGCAACGCCGGTGCACTTTTGGTGGATCGACCTCTGCTTTTTGATTTTTGATTTATGATTTATGATAAATCATAAATTATCTCCGATCTGCACTGTATTGGATTTGGAAAAAAATCGTGCACACTATTAAGCTCTTTCCTGTCTAATCGAGTTCATAGAATATTCTATAGTAACAAATATTCTGAACCGCTCTTTGTACTATAGGGTAGCATTTTGCCTCCCTTGTTATGTACTATTTATACTTTTAATTATGCAGAGTTATTTGAGTATTGCAGTCATCACCTCCATTCATTTTATTTTTCCAAATATCTGTTGCGATCGATCTATATAAAAAAACGAATTTTGCTTTTGTAATCCTTTGCTTTTATCATTTTTTATGCTCCATCTAATAATGAAAATATTCAAAAAAAAATTCTATTTCCCTTTATGTCAACAGTCTCTCTTTTGTACCTTGCATTAGGGCCCTTGGAGGATAGAAGCCGCACCTTAAAGAAAGAGAATTTAAAACCAAGTTCACGCTCTAGTACCAAGTTCCTCGGACAAACCTCGCCCCGCACAGCACAGTCTGCGCACGCGTTTCGACAGGACTGCACGTGTCGCCGCTTGAGTTAAAAAAACGTTGCAAAATTTTACCGCGCTTGCGTGATTCTTGTGACAGTGACATTTTGACATATCGAAAAATCTAGACGTGATAGAAAAAATTGGCCAACGGGGATAGATTCAAAACGTTTGAATCATTATATATATATTTCATTGCCAACCAGTGTAATTTGTGATTGACAAATGTGGAAAAGGAAATATTTCAAATATGACAAGATTATTTTCATTAAAAAAAAGTTTTTCGGCATTTTTTTAATTTTATTTTTTTTTTTCAAGCACCCTGTATTAATATGTGTCGAAATTTCTTATGCAATTCGTTATTTGAGTCTTTTGTCTACAACAAAACTTACCCAACTGAAACAATTAACGCTTCCGAATTGAGAAATTGGCAGATATTTACTTGCAAACGTCATATTTCGCATATAAAATTGAAATCGTCAAAAACGGTCAGACTTTGGTATACGACATACACAACATATGGTCTAGAATGTCGTATAAATTTCAAATTAAATAAATTAAATTTTTCGAAGAAACTTCCACGGGCTACCGTAATACTATTTCTTTCAATTATGCTCTGAAGAAGCCAACAGGATGATTAGCGAAACGTCGACAAGTTAATTAAATAATTAACTTTTGGCTCCACCCCCTAAAGTTTGTGGGATAAGGTAGCGTCCCAAAATAATCGCCCCACCCTATACGTAGTCCGAACATAAACTCGACGTACGTCAACTTCTCGAGTCAGGGGCCGGTTGACCTAAAATCTCTACGGCAAAATATTTACAAAATCGGGTCCCGCGATATCGCACGAACGTGAAAAGGCACGAGACCGCGCGGCCGTGACGTCTCATCGATTTTGCTGTCCGCTTCTGCGCGCGCGCGCATCCAATTTTAAACAATTTTTTATCGTTTGTTATTAACAATCGCGAACCAATGTCGGCCGTGTCGGAGGCTTTCACTTTTACGCGGAACCCGTTTTAAAAACTCGGCCGTGTCTCGCGCGAACGGTCTTCGACGACGCGCGCGGGGAAAACCTTTTTCTTCTCTGTCTGTTCGTCGCCGTCGTCCGGGTTTCCCGTGTCCCGTGCCGGATCGTCCGGAGAGTCTCGTCCCGCCTCTCGCGTCCGTACGTGCGTCCGACAGTTGACCGCGGGTAATTTCGAAAATATGAGCAGCGTCGGGGACATTTTGAGTTACAAGAAGAGCGAGAGGGAAGACTATTACGCCATTCTGGGATGCGACGAGCATTCATCGGTACGTCTTTTTCTTTTCGTTTTCTTTGCTTAGTTAGAGCAAATGTGCCGAAACCCGTGGAAATATGGGGAAATGTGAGGAAGTACGTGAAAATGGACGGAAACGCGGAAAAAATTGCGATGATGTTTAATACTGTAATTTTTTCGTGTGTAAAGTCTGTTCATAGATATAAGAAAATGATACGAATTAAGGAAAGCCCGGGCAAGCTGTAAGATTGAAATATGGCCGAACAGAGTTTTGTTACGACAGATACTAAACAATATTTATTTATTTTCCACATTTGGGCTGGAGCATCTCCTGAGATACACTAGACTCACACATATTTTGCATAATTCGCACACGATTCAATACACGCTGTATTACACACGTAATAATAATAAACTTAAACCAAGTAGTATACCAAACCAAAGAATATTAAACACAGATAGGTATAAAATTATTTTCTATTACGGACCACAATTTTACCTGAACGCATTGTATGTTAATGACCACCCTTGGATAATCCCATTCAAAAGCAATTGGTCACATTTTTATATCTATGAACAGACCATACCTGCGGACAATTTTTAAATTGTAAAATTGTTGAGATTTTTCGTCTTTCATGGGGACCCCATTCCATTACAATTCTGGGAATTGTTTCTGGGGTCATTATTAGAGTATATCCATACCATTTGAGTTGCCTATCCTCGACATTTGCAACTTCAACTGACGAATCCAATCAGGCCGTACATGTTCTATCCGGAAGATTCTCGATTGCTTTCTGATACTTGAAGACGTTGTTTTTGTTGTTCATTAAGTTTTGCATCCCTCAAGTAAAAAATCGGATTTTTTTCCCATAGTTCCAATTTGATTTGTTTTCGAGATACAGGGTACCAACGTTTTAATAACTAATCGGTGCCTTATTAATTATTCAGAAACCTTTTTTCTGCTTTGGATCAAACTAAACGCTAAACGCAATTAGAATAAAAGTGTTATTTTTAAAAATAATAAAAACAGTCAAAACAATTACTAAAAATCCATCAAAAGGAAAGCAGGTTACGGCAAAACGCAAAAATGCATTTTTAACCTAACCTTCAAAAAATATTAACCACATAAAAAAGAGATTACCTTTTGTGACGCCTCTGGAATTAATACTTTTTTTCTAATTGCAGAAGAAGCCCCTTATTACCGTAAATGAAATTGTCAAATTTCATCAAAATCAGAAAAGAAGTTTTCGAATAATTAACAAGAAAGCGTTTTTTTCATAAAATCTTTGACACCCTGTATCTCAAATGAAATCAAGTTAGGATATAAGTTTATTTTTACCTGAAAAGTCGTTGTTAAAAGTTTCACAGGCCACCCTGTATATAAAAGTTTTCTTTTTAGACCATAAAGTGTGATTTAGTATTTCAATTGAATAATACCAAAATACCAACTACTTGATATACTATACTTATTATTTGAAAATTACATATGGAGTGCTTCAAGGCAGGACCTTATAACTCGCATTTTAGTGATGTTCGGTGTTTTATACTGGGTCCATCTGTAAGCAAAACTTTAAATCAGCAGATGTCGATAATGCAGTGTTCTTTAGGCATTTCCTCGTAACTGACGTTTATTACACAGCTTTTTTATTTGATTTGTGATGTCTGAAAAAGTTCCTGCCAGGTAACACTCATATATATAGGAGACTCGATGTCTCTCAAAGTTAGAGGTAAATTTTGTTCTCTCTCTGATATAGAAAACTGCCAGCTTCAGTGGTCTTATTTTTTAACTCTTCCAGACAAAACATCGTCTGCGGAATTGTTTAACATTTGCATGTAAATTATTCAGTTCATTGCCCAAGCCTATTTTTTTAGTGCTTTCCGGGTCGTGACTATTGATTTTGTCGACTCTCCACGGCATTGCTGCAACTCTCGCCGAGCACCCTCCAAACGGCGGCTTCTAAATTACTTCCAATTGTCGCCTTAATTAAGCCTACGTACGTGCAAACGGTGTTAGTCCACTAAACGTCGTTAATGTCGTGTACCTGTTGCCCCACTGTTCTCTTCTCTTGCTTGCTTGCTTTGGAGCGTTTGTTCAGTCCTATACGAGGGGGTACCCATAAAAACCGGAATTGAATTGCCGCGCGCAGAGCTTGTATAGTACACCTTTCTGCCGCTAGGTTGTGGATAGTACAACTTATTGCGAGTTCAACGCCACCTTCGTTTTAAATTTAACTTGTTTTGTTCCCTTGCAGTGCCATTTTTTTGTTAACGCCGTTTTTTTGTTATTGCTTTTTTTCGATGGCAAGTTTAAAAGAACAACGTGCAGCTGTGAAATTTTGTTTTCTGCTCGGTAAAAGTGCTGCTGAAACGGTTTCAATGTTAAAAACAGCTTATAAAGACGATGCGATGGGAAAAATTCGAGTGTACCAGTGGTTTGTTCGCTTCAAAAATGGCGGCGACGAGTCAATTGATGACCGACTTCGTTCTGGACGTCCATCAACTGCTCGAATCGACGAAAATATTGAAAAGATTCGAGAGTTTGTGCTCACAGACCGTCGACAGACAATTGAACAATAATAGTTTGTTTCTCGTGTTCTGACTGACGTGCAAAAAGAACATCGAGTTGAAACGTCGTGCTTTGAATCAACAGCTTGGAACGGATCCAGATTTTCTTTCAAAGATCATTACTGGTGACAAGTCATTGTGTTATGGTGACGATCCAGAAACGAAGCAACAGTCCAGCCAATGGAAGACGTCACTGTCTCCCCGTCCAAAAAAATGTCGTCAGGTCAAATCAAACATGCCGATTTGCTTTTTCGACATCAACGGCGTACTTCATGCAGAGTTTGTTCCACCAGGCGAGACCGTTAATCAAGCTTTTTATCTGGAAGTTTTAAGAAGATTGCGCAACAGTATTCGACAAAAAAGACCCGATTTTTGACGGGCAGGGGACTGGTTCTTTCACCACGATAATGCACCTGCACACACAGCCATTTCTGTTAAGCAGTTTTTGGCTAAAAATGGCATGGTTCCTCTGCCCCATGCACCTTACTCGCCTGATCTCGCTCAGTGTGACTTCTTTTTATTTCCACGTATGAAAAGGGACATGAAAGGACAGCGATTTGAGAACATTGAAGAGGTCAAGAAAAAAACGAGGGATGAGCTGTCGGCTATAGCCAAAGATGAATATAAAAAATGTTTCGAACAGTGGAAGCACCGCTGGGACAAATGTATTAGTTGTAATGGAGAGTATTTTGAAGGGGATAAGGGATATTGCAAAAGTAAATATACAAGTAAACCATATTTAATTAGTAATAAAGCCTAAATTGGAACTGCTACTATCAGAAAATGATAAATGAAAATAGTGGTGGTGCAAAGTGTATTCTCTGTTTCAGTAATTATTTGGTCAGTAGCAAGTTTGTTTTGTATTTGTTGACAATTTTTAAAAACTCACATTTTCTGGGTAATTAATCCGCTTACTGACAATTTCTTCTTCGTTTTTTGTCGATGCATTTGGTACACTTTCACTAAGTTTAGAATGGTATCGTCCATTATTCATAATACTTAAAGACGACATTTTGAGTTTCGGCTGCAGTTTTCCAAAAAATGCGAGCTTGTTTTATAGTGGAAACTAGTGAAATTATAGTAATAGATAAATGTAGAACACTACCAGGTAAGTGGGTGGGTTTTGCCATTTTTTGTATACGAGATTAGCGCCAAAATTTCCCGGTCTGACATATACGCAGGTCCAGTATCGCGATATCTTAGTAGGCTGCGAAAAAAAAATTGAAGTCTTGCGTAAAAGGTGATTGCCACGATTTTTTGGGATTGTGAAGGAATTCTTTTGATAGATTTTAAAGAAACTAATACCACTGTCAATGGCAAGTATTACGCAACATTATCACAAAAATTGCGAGACTGCATACGTGTAAAACGTCGAGGAAAACTGACCAGAGGCGTTCGTCTTTTGTACGATAATGCACCTGTTCATACTGCAGAAGCTGTCATTTTAGAGTGTGGGTTCCAACAGATAGATCATCCTCAATATAGTCCAGATATGGCCGGGAAATTTTGGCAGCGCCTGGAAACAGGTAAAATACTGAGGTATCTTCTCTCTTGGTATTATAACCCACTATGCCATCGCAAATCGTACTGACTATGGAAGTACGAAGTAGATCATTATAACTCGGTGAACGGTAAGTAAGTAACATCCCTTAAAGGGTAAAGTTGAATATTTAGTGCCCAACTTTAATCTTCTGTCGGATTATGATACGGAAGCGCGAATTGCTTCTAACCAAAACTAACCAAACAAGCCCCTAACTTAAAACTAATTTAATATTCAAAAATTATAAATCTACAAGGTTGCATTAGGAAATTTGATTCAGTTTTTATAGGACAGCTGCAAAGCTTTGCGATTCGAAGTATAGAACATGATTGCCTGATTGGCCGGTTTTTACTCATTTTATGAATCAATTGTGTTTCCTTTTGAGAGTTTTCTGTCAAATGTTGATCCTTCATCTGTTGAATGTATTAGCGCAGAACGCAGTTATTGTCACATAGATGGCAGCACATGTATTGTTTTTGAAATAACTTTTTTTTGGCCTACGTGACTAGAGAACAAGCACGCGGTGGAATGGCGGACCAAGTGTCGGACGAATTTTGTTAGTATTCTTATAAATTACAATATTTAATATATCCTTCTTCAGTGTGTGTTATTTAACCCACATAATTCAAGATCATCTACTAAAAACTGATTGCCCAAAAGACAATTTAGTTACTAACGAATAATATAAAAAAAAAATCATAAAATCATAATATTAGGATTTTAAGAGATTATTTGTCAATGCTTTGCCTTCCATTGATCCTACACGCCTCTCTCCCTCCGTATAATTTAGCAAATGCGTCTGGCGGCACGCAAACTTGTAATGTCTTCGAAACTTTGACGATGATCCCCTCCAATAGAGGAAACTTTTGTTTCAGGTGGAACAAATAAACGCGGAGTACAAAGTTCGGGCGCTCCAATATCACCCGGATAAAAACCGCGACGATAAAGATTCCGAAGAGAAGTTTCAACTCCTAAATGTAAGTAAATAACCGCGTAACTTTGGTCGTTGCGAATTTGAGTGGCGGAAAACGTTGTTTCAGTTTAATTGGTTGCATATACTTCCGTACTGTGTTTTTATTGGCTTGTTTGTATTACATTAGAGATATAGAGGTTGTGCCTATGCTGATAATACAGGGACTTAATGAAGCAACCATGAAAAAATTGCACACGAGATTTAACGTCTTGTTTTTGACCAATGATCTTGCGGCATTCAACAACCAACATGGCCGACGACAGATCGCCAATAAGTTTAGATGAACCATTTTTAAAACAGTAGTTTCTCAAAATATGCTTATTTCTTGTTTTAACAAAAAGGACTGAAGTGGGTGGATATGAAAACTAAACGTTACTAATTAGAAATCTTATTTTTACCTACTGCCTATAATTGGAAACTTGTTTGTCTTACCTTTCGAAACTTCCATATCACCTTCCTATTTCTTGGGGCTTCGTGTCGTTTTTCTTTAAACAGGACACACAAGAGATCCTTATTATGGGTGATTTTCTTTTAGAACGTTAAAAATCCATTTGTTTTTGGAATTTTTAAGAGATTAATTCTGTTGGCCATTCTTTGTGATATGGCAAAAAGAATCGCCCTAAAACCAATATAATCTTTGTACAATGAAAATCACTATGAAATGACAAGCTGTAACGAGCACGTACACGCTTGTAATTTTGAGCGCAAATTAAATTTTAAAATTTTTATCACCCAATTGCGTTCGTAGCATCGTCGAGTCATATCTAGAGTGATTGTTCTAGGAAGCCAAGGAAACGCTGACAAACCCGGAGAAGAAGCTGCTCTACGACAAATGGAAAAATAGCGGCATATCGATGGGCTACAAACAATGGCTTGGCGTGAAAGACCACGTGCAGCAGGTATGCGCGACTCAAAATGTCTGTCTCGTTTCTGAGTGGAAACTTTCGGCATACGTTAATATTCCAACGTGCCGAGCCAATCAGAACGCGGCGGCTAGTTTTTACTATGGCGCCAAATTCAAACCGAGAACGCATGTCGCATAAGTATGATCGCTTATACTCGTATTCATAGTCGAACGCCAGCGAGTTTATAGATAGTTATATTACTTTTTATAAGGATAATATGTTTGCTTCTCAATTTTTCATTTTTTCGAATTTTCCTCGGAATTTCGTTGTTCTGCGTCCCTCTTAAACGTCCTAAAAATATCTACAAATTTCCCAAAAGATTCTTCGTCCAAGCTGCGAGCAAAGCTATTCATTTCTTGCAAAATGACCTGTAACAAAAATCGAAAATTAAACACGTAATAATTGTAGTGCAATAGCGTGCCCTAAATGTTGTTCGACAAACTTTACCGTCACGAATCCTAAAAAAATAGTTCGTAGATAACAATAATATTAGATAACAACAAATAATATTATATTATTTACCCTCAGTTGAAATGTTAACTACAATTCTTCGCGCGCTTCGGATTACATTGATGGTCCTGCCTTCTGATTGGCTCGGCACGTTGGAATATTCACCTATGCCGAATCTTTCGACGTAGCGCGTACATAAATACGTTTTATCGACCTATAAGTTGGCGGAGGGAGACGGTTTCAATAGAACCGTGTGCGCGCCACCACGCAAGCTGGAGTTTTTTTGACATTTAATACGACGCGTAACAATTATCAACTGTCAACTATCAACAGGTGGTTTTATCGAACCTCCCGTATAATTAATTAAGCACGTCGCTGTACAGAAAATAACTCCTTTTCCGATCGCATCACCCCAAAAAATAATTTAATTACTAGTTCGCAATGTCGAAAAAATCTGACCTTGAAACCGTCGTCAAAATATAAAACTACCCCCGATTATGAAATACCCAATACTTATTTCGCAATCTCAGAGGTTGAACTACACCATTAAAGAGGCACTTAGGAGAGCTTCAAAATCATGTATTACCCAACGATCTCGAAACGGTCGGGAAGATATATTTTTATTTCGCAATGTCAAAAAATCTGACGTTGTCCCAGATATTCAATTAAACTTCAGCTTCAAAATGATGTATTGCTCAACCAACTTGAAATCGTCGGGAAGATATAAAACTACCCCCATTAATGAGAATCCACGAAATCCATTTTATTTATTTCGGAATCTCAAAAAGAAAAGTGACGTTTTCCCATATATTCAATTAAACCATTAAAGATCATTTGAAGCTCTCCTAAGTGGGTTCTTTAATGGTCTATTTGAATATTCAAGATTGCGAAGTAGTAATTAAATTATTTTTTGGAGTGATGCGCACCGTATAGCAACATTGGATATGATTTTTGGGAGTTCCCTTACAATATACTTAATTAAGATAAGTAACGAACTTTGTATTCGAATAACTGATTCGAACATTTTCAGTCTATGCACTGGAGCACGCCGAAAACCAAAGACCGCATGCTCGAATCCGGGGGCAACTCCGGTCCTTCCAGTCTCGGTTCTTCGAACGCGACGGCCGCCCAAAGGAGGGCGTCGGAAGGCGGCGCGAACCTCCACTGGGGCGGCAAGGGCGGAGCGGCTTGGGGCGCCGGCATGGATACGCACAGCGAAGTTGTCAGTAAATTCAGAAATTACGAAATCTAAACCGGATTATGTTTCGACCCTCGTGATGTTGTGTGTTCACCCCTCCTCACCCCAACCGCTCCACTAATGTATGTTGTGGGTGTCTTCTAAGTATCGCGAAAATTTTAAAAAAGATCCTCTCGGGGTTTCATTCTCTTCGCAAACTTGGCCTACTCTGTCCAAATATTCTGAACATAGTACAGTCATTATAATCGACAAAAATAATAAAACCCCCGGTATACTATTTTTAGTAGGAACTGAAAATGAAAAAAAAAGGACAGTTTTCCTCCTAAAAGTGGAAATAAAGTTCGATTCCGAATTCACAGTCAGCGATTGCGCCATCTACCGTCAGTCATTTTAAATTCTCGCTGTCATATGATAAGATTCCGAAACATATCAATTTCTCATTTTTCGCCTTTTAAAAATCTAATTATCGATCTAATCCGTTAATTCAATGCAGACAATTTTTAAAACATCTGCAAATACAAAAATGTCATGACCTGCTTGGACACGTGGACCCGCAAACAGTATTGAGAATTTATTAACGTAACGCCGTCCCGACGCTTTGCCACATCCCGTGTTACTTTTGCAAATTTGAATGTACCGTTATGAGTGTTAAACGCGCACCCTGTGTTAATGTACGTACAAAACTTCAACCAAGGTCCCTTTTGCATGTAACCGGGGTATCGCGATTTTGTATTGTCGATTCCCCTGGCCAGTCCCCACACACATTCCCATATATTTTGATAAATGTTTAAAAAATATTTGACGAAATTATATTTATCGGTGTTAAACGAACTCTTGAAAAAGTATTTGCCAAAAATCTATACCTAAATTATATAGCGATATTTATAAATGTTCTAATAAAGAAAAGTTCAGTATGTAGTTGAGTTGTTTGTGTATTCGCCCGGATCTTTTTGATTGTGAAGGTAAGTGTTTCGCTTTCGAGTAAATTAAATTTTCATGCAATCTTTACGAGAACAAACTTCCTCTGTGTCGCATGTTCACTTGCACGGTCTAGCTACTCATTTACCTATCTGCTTCCTATACTGAGGACGCATGACGTTATGTCCAGAGCAGATCGGACAAGCCACACATTCTAAACGCACGTTATTACTTTTTTGAGAGCGATCAAATTATCGCTTGTCTGGTCCGCTTTGGGCAATGTATCAGGTGTTTAATTATAAAGGTGTTTCAATTCTCACAAAGCAATCCTCTGCACGCTAGGACACTGTCTTATATTTTCTTCAGGCCGCTCTTTGGTCGCCTTCAAAGACGAAACCGAAAAAGCCGGACCTGTCCAGCGGCGGGTCGTCGGGCCCTTCGAGCCTGACCATCGGTGGCTTGCCAGCGGCGTACCGACGGGCCTCGGAGGGCGGGGCCAACCTACTCGCGTCAGGACGCAAGAAACTGCCGGAGGCAGAGGACAAGTCGCACCAGATATAACTGTCTTGTCCGATTTCGCGGAAAACCGTAGCAGTTTAAGGTGTCTTTTGAATGGATATAGCTATTTTCGGAGCCTATTAAATATTCTTAATAATAATAATAATAATATTAGACCATAGGCTTTACTTATCGGTCGGGTGATCTAATTTTTGGTTGGCAACAATTTGCGTTAATATCCAACCTTCGTAGGCAAAAATAAAAGCTACTTCCTACGCAACATTCTACATACAAGTGCGTTTCCTTCATTTTTAACCCAAATCTAAACTTAACAAAATTTCAATGAGTTAAATTAGTCTGTAAAGGCTGCTCCATGAAGACTGCGAAAATTGATCATCACTAGAAGCAACTTAATTTTGTTCCCATTTCTCCTAGTAAACATATTTTCAGATTACCTGGCCAGTGGTAGAAAACGTCTACTAAATTACTGGAATAGTTATGTCTCATGGACGAAATATAATAAACTAATACGTATGTGTGGAGATCCGGAGCTGGTTCTAATAATTTTTAATTTAATTTAAATTTAAATCCAAAAGGCGCTTTACTTTTTTAAACGTTATTGTTCACAGCGGCATTTCAAAATGGCCGTTGAATATTGTGAACACTCCTAGCATAAAAACAATTGATTTGCGTTTTCGATTTCACCGGAAATGGCCGCACGCGGTACTGATATTTTCGTAGAGAAGGTAATGACTTTCCGTGCATGCCTCTACATATCACTCACTAACCTGCCCTTCGAATCAGATCTAGGCATATTTTTAGAAAGCCACAAGGGCATTGGTAAAAATGGAAATTGGAGATTTTCAATTTCGCGCATGTACATGTTGAGTGGACCTTATCAAAAATTGTTTTCATTTACAAGTTGTTATATTATCGGCATCTATAGTAGTTACATGTTTACATGTCATCCAAAGCACGATGAAATTTAGCTAACACATCTATTTCTACGCCTCCATTGACAATAAACCCTTCCACATTTTCATTTACAGGAAGATTTGTGGGAACGCTGAACTAGCCACGGAAAGTAACGACGAACTGGGCGAAATTCAATCTGGATACCGCTATCTTTTACTGAAAAAAACATTCACTGTAACTTGTCAATTTTGTAAAATGTCTTGCCATATTGTTTGAGATGAAATGAAAGTAAATTGTTTGTTGTTATTAGAGGACGCGGGTTCTATAACTGAAAAAAATTTGGTAAGTTCTTGTTTTGAATCCATAGCCGGCTACGCGACGCGTATGATTGTTTATGTCAATTTAATTTTTTGTGCAAAAGGATTATCAACAGCTGTAGCAACTGCAGCAAATGCGGGAGCGTAACTTAAACACGGAACAGAACTTACACAATTTACTATGGAAATGAACGAGTAAAACATTCGCATCTTCTCGTCTTCGACAAGCACTCTCTTGTTACGTTATTTTGGTACTCCGTGGCTCATTCTAGCGGAGTCGTACGTATCTATTTCAATGTGTTCTGGTCGACGACTAGTTCATCTTTTTGTGGATAGATGGTGGTGAGGACCTTTATTTGTTACACAACGTACAAAAAGCGTGTCTTGTTTTCAATTTTGCATGAGTTTGTGGATGTTGAGTTGCGATGTGATAAAAAAAGTACGCCTGGACAGTAGACCCTTCATTCATGGACAGTAAGCTGCTTTCGTGTGGTAACTGACCAATCATGTTTGATTCAATTGCGCTTTGAATGACGAGTAAGTAACCCCATTATATCTTGTTCTAACCTTCACAAATGAAAACATTTCAAAATTGTGAAACTATTGATTGAATTTATTTCCGGCGAAACCGGAAACGCAATTGAATTATTTATACTCTACAAACACGGCAGCTCTTCGCATCAGCGTCAATCCACATTTTCTCGAAGCATTAATTGCAATACAAATTTTTGCGCCTTATGTTTTAAGGTTAAATTGTGCTAAAAGAGTACAGGTTTTATTTTACGATATACTATTTTGTATAATTTGCTTTCTGGCAACAAACCCACACCTTAAAGGGAGTTCAATTGAACTTCTGCGAAAGGGAAATTTTACGCATATACCGATAAAGAAAGTAGATGGTTCTTTGAAACCCAGCGCACGTCCCAACACTATCAACATACCAAATTGCATATTTTTATTTCAAGCCATTTTGAAATGCCGAAGTGAAATGTGAAATTCTAAAAATCGCCATTCTGCACCTTTTTTTTACTTATTTCATGTCACTTGGTTGATGGATCCAAGTTGTAGAAGAAGGTAGTCAGGGGTCAATGCGATCTTGGATATTTCAACATGACCAGCAGATGACCAACTCCGGGTACGTTAAATGCTCTCAGTAAATCAATGTCGATCTGAAGAATGAAATAAATGTTTACCACGCAACGCGGTTATTTTTTTCTACAAATTTTTATTAAATAAGTTACGCCTATGTACATACAAAAACCGCAGTTGTACAAACCCTAATATAAAAATTAACGGTGCGCCTCTCGATCGCGAACACCACTATGACTTAAACCTAAAATGACTGGCATATAATTTTTTTTTGCTAGGAAAAATGACCGCGCGGTCTTTTGGCAGATTCGCTTCGTTTCCGGACCCCTATCTACGCGGTCCATTCCGCCGGGGGTTTCTCTAGGGTACACGGCCTCAAAAACTCCTGCCCTCTTTCGTGGATCCACTTGTTCGACACTGAAAATTTAGTTTTACGGCTCGCTTCGAGTGCTTACCCCTCCCATAACGACGTACCCCATTTCGAACCGGCCAGTACTGGACAGGCGGCGTGTCGAGTCCTTTTGTCCCCGTCCCCGCTGGGGAACAAATTATACCAGAACGCTGCAGACCCCTTTTTGGGCCACAGCGCAGCCTTAATCACTGGAAACACTGTCGCCCCCCCTTGTGGTACGTCGCTCATCTGGAAACGCACTTGAGGCGTAAATTATCAAAGCACCAGTGGAGTCTTGCAAATTCTATTAATGAAGTGAAGCATTTCTACAAAATTTGTAGCCCTTCTGTGACTTTTGATGTTTAGTTACTGAACCTCCTTGTTACCTCCTAAACTCCACCTCCAAACTCCCCGAAACTTTCTTAATGATCATTAATTAGGTTGGAATAGAGTCAGTTGAATGTGACTCCCCTGGAACTATGTAGTTAAAACCTCGTAGATATCTTCAGGGAGAATTATTTCTATGCAAAACCTAATGAGGTTTAAGAAAAAGCCTGGAGGAAATCCTGTAGATGTCTGGAAAGGAATTGTCGTGGTGGAACAGAAGAGACCTTGTTACACAGTTACACACCGGCGAATCTAAGAAAATCTGCTTTGTCTTGTTGTTAGGAGAACTCCCCAAAACTTTCTTAATGATCTTTAGGTCGTAATAGAGTCAGTTGAATGTGACTCCCCTGGAACTCTGTAGGAAAAACTTCGTGGATATCTTCAAATTTAATGACGTTTAAGAAAAACCCTGGAGGAAATCCTGTAGATGTCAAGAAAAGAATTGTCGTGGTGGTACGGAAGAAACCTTGTTACACAGTTACACAGCGGCGAATCTAAGAAAATATGGTCCGTCTTGTAGATAAGATATTAAAGTAGATAAAAGATTCAAGAGATGCAAGAAAGAACTACCTCTTCTCTTCTTCTTGTCCACAATAGAAACTAAAAAATTATGGGAATTACTGGTCTTTTAGTAGAGAGGGTTAGAGAGACGGTCAGAAGAACTCCCCAAAACTTTCTTAATGATCTTTAGGTCGGAATAGAGTCAGTTGAATGTGACTCCCCTGGAACTCTGTAGGAAAAACCTCGTGGATATCTTCAGGGAGAATTATTACTATGCAAAACCTAATGAGCTTTAAGAAAAAGCCTGGAGGAAATCCTGTAGATGTCTGGAAAGGAATTGTCGTGGTGGAACAGAAGAGACCTTGTTACACAGTTACACACCGGCGAATCTAAGAAAATCTGCTCTGTCTTGTTGTTAGAAGAACTCCCCAAAACTTTCTTAATGATCTTTAGGTCGTAATAGAGTCAGTTGAATGTGACTCCCCTGGAGCTCTGTAGGAAAAACTTCGTGGATATCTTCAAACTTAATGACGTTTAAGAAAAACCCTGGAGGAAATCCTGTAGATGTCAGGAAAAGAATTGTCGTGGTGGTACGGAAGAAACCTTGTTACACACTTACACAGCGGCGAATCTAAGAAAATCTGGTCCGTCTTGTAGATAAGATATTAAGTAGATAAAATATTCAAGAGATGCAAGAAAGAACTACTTCTTCTCTTCTTCTTGTCCACAATAGAAACTAAAAAATTATGGGAATTACTGGTCTTTTAGTAGAGAGGGTTAGAGAGACGGTCAGAAGAACTCCCCAAAACTTTCTTAATGATCTTTAGGTCGGAATAGAGTCAGTTGAATGTGACTCCCCTGGAACTCTGTAGGAAAAACCTCGTGGATATCTTCAGGGAGAATTATTACTATGCAAAACCTAATGAGGTTTAAGAAAAAGCCTGGAGGAAATCCTGTAGATGTCTGGAAAGGAATTGTCGTGGTGGAACAGAAGAGACCTTGTTACACAGTTACACACCGGCGAATCTAAGAAAATCTGCTCTGTCTTGTTGTTAGAAGAACTCCCCAAAACTTTCTTAATGATCTTTAGGTCGTAATAGAGTCAGTTGAATGTGACTCCCCTGGAACTCTGTAGGAAAAACTTCGTGGATATCTTCAAACTTAATGACGTTTAAGAAAAACCCTGGAGGAAATCCTGTAGATGTCAGGAAAAGAATTGTCGTGGTGGTACGGAAGAAACCTTGTTACACAGTTACACAGCTGCGAATCTAAGAAAATATGGTCCGTCTTGTAGATAAGATATTAAAGTAGATAAAAGATTCAAGAGATGCAAGAAAGAACTACCTCTTCTCTTCTTCTTGTCCACAATAGAAACTAAAAAATTATGGGAATTACTGGTCTTTTAGTAGAGAGGGTTAGAGAGACGGTCAGAAGAACTCCCCAAAACTTTCTTAATGATCTTTAGGTCGGAATAGAGTCAGTTGAATGTGACTCCCCTGGAACTCTGTAGGAAAAACCTCGTGGATATCTTCAGGGAGAATTATTACTATGCAAAACCTAATGAGGTTTAAGAAAAAGCCTGGAGGAAATCCTGTAGATGTCTGGAAAGGAATTGTCGTGGTGGAACAGAAGAGACCTTGTTACACAGTTACACACCGGCGAATCTAAGAAAATCTGCTTTGTCTTGTTGTTAGGAGAACTCCCCAAAACTTTCTTAATGATCTTTAGGTCGTAATAGAGTCAGTTGAATGTGATTCCCCTGGAACTATGTAGGAAAAACTTCGTGGATATCTTCAAACTTAATGACGTTTAAGAAACACCCTGGAGGAAATCCTGTAGATGTCAGGAAAAGAATTGTCGTGGTGGTACGGAAGAAACCTTGTTACACAGTTACACAGCGGCGAATCTAAGAAAATATGGTCCGTCTTGTAGATAAGATATTAAAGTAGATAAAAGACTCAAGAGATGCAAGAAAGAACTACTTCCTCTTCTTCTTGTCCACAATAGAAACTAAAAAATTATGGGAATTACAGGTCTTTTAGTAGAGAGGGTTAGAGAGACGGTCAGAAGAACTCCCCAAAACTTTCTTAATGATCTTTAGGTCGGAATAGAGTCAGTTGAATGTGACTCCCCTGGAACTCTGTAGGAAAAACCTCGTGGATATCTTCAGGGAGAATTATTATTATGCAAAACTTAATGACGTTTAAGAAAAAGCCTGGAGGAAATCCTGTAGATGTCTGGAAAGGAATTGTCGTGGTGGAACAGAAGAGACCTTGTTACACAGTTACACACCAGCGAATCTAAGAAAATCTGCTCTGTCTTGTTGTTAGAAGAACTCCCCAAAACTTTCTTAATGATCTTTAGGTCGTAATAGAGTCAGTTGAATGTGACTCCCCTGGAACTCTGTAAGAAAAGCTTCGTGGATATCTTCAAACTTAATGAAGTTTAAGAAAAATCCTGTAGATGTCAGGAAAAGAATCGTCGTGGTGGTACGGAAGAAACCTTGTTACACAGTTACACAGCGGCGAATCTAAGAAAATATGGTCCGTTTTGTAGATAAGATATTAAAGTAGATAAAAGACTCATGAGATGCAAGAAAGAACTACTTCCTCTTCTTCTTATCTACAATAGAAACTAAAAAATTATGGGAATTACAGGTCTTTTAGTAGAGAGGGTTAGAGAGACGGTCAGAAGAACTCCCCAAAACTTTCTTAATGATCTTTAGGTCGGAATAGAGTCAGTTGAATGTGACTCCCCTGGAACTCTGTAGGAAAAACTTCGTGGATATCTTCAAACTTAATGAAGTTTAAGAAAAACCCTGGAGGAAATCCTGTAGATGTCAGGAAAAGAATCGTCGTGGTGGTACGGAAGAAACCTTGTTACACAGTTACACGGCGGCGAATCTAAGAAAATATGGTCCGTCTTGTAGATAAGATATTAAAGTAGATAAAAGACTCATGAGATGCAAGAAAGAACTACTTCCTCTTCTTCTTGTCCACAATCGAAACTAAAAAATTATGGGAATTACAGGTCTTTTAGTAGAGATGGTTAGAGACACGGTCAGAAGAACTCCCCAAAACTTTCTTAATGATCTTTAGGCCGGAATAGAGTCAGTTGAATGTGAATCCCCTGGAACTCTGTAGGAAAAACTTCGTGGATATCTTCAAACTTAATGACGTTTAAGAAAAACCCTGGAGGAAATCCTGTAGATGCTAGGAAAGGAATTGTCGTGGTGGTACAGAAGAGACCTTGTTACACAGTTGCACAGCGGCGAATCTAAGAAAATCTGGTCCGTCTTGTAGATAAGATATTAAAGTAGATAAAAGACTCATGAGATGCAATAAAGAACTGCTTCTTCTCTTCTTCTTCTTTTCCACAATAGAAACTAAAAACTTATTGGAATTACAGGTCTTTTAGTAGAGAGAGTTAGAGAGACGGTTAGAAGAACTCCCCAAAACTTTCTTAATGATCTTTAGGTCGGAATAGAGTCAGTTGAATGTGACTCCCCTGCAACTCTGTAGGAAAAACCTCGTGGATATCTTCAGGGAGAATTATTATTATGCAGAACTTAATGACGTTTAAGGAAAAGCCTGGAGAAAATCCTGTAGATGCCAGGAAAGGAATTGTCGTGGTGGAATAGAAGAGACCTTGTTACACAGTTACACAGCGGCGAATCTAAGAAAATCTGGTCCGTCTTGTAGATAAGATATTAAAGTAGATAAAAGACTCATGAGATGCAATAAAGAACTGCTTCTTCTCTTCTTCTTGTCTACAATAGAAACTAAAATATTATTGGAATTACAGGTCTTTTAGTAGAGAGAGTTAGAGAGACGGTTAGAAGAATTACCACTCAATACTCCTTAAATTCCCTGGAAAAAACATCTTGCCGGTCAATAACTATAATTAATATGTTATATATGCTGGAAATTAAACTGAACAAAAAGGAGATGAGGGACCAGGTGCCTTAAAAATAAATTTCACACGGGATGAAAGCGGACAAAAGGCGTTGGCTTCTCGGCATTGGTCGAACCTATTTAATCCACAGAGAAGATTTTTTTTTTATTTGTAGATTTTAAGTTTTTGTAAGTTATTGGGATTATAGGACTAAGGAAACGAATATTTCCAAAAACAACTGTCACAGGAGTGGATCTAAGCAGAAGGAACATCCGCAATGCTCTAACCTCTCGCGGTTCTGTTGGAAATGAAACTGGGCAACAAGGAGATGAGGAACTAGTTGTCGCTTACTGGTATTTTTGTATTCCCTGAGAAGGTTTCTTACTTACGTAAAATAAGACAGTAGCGATTCTGTTCCCGGTGCCGAGATTCTTGAAGGCGTTGGTCTCGTCTTTCTGAAACCGAACCAATCCCTAGTTCTGCGTATTCCTTATCCTCCACCTCTACGTACCCGCGCAAAATCGAAGTGTGGCTCATAATGGCCGCCGATCCCGTAGTTGACCACTTGCAGCTCTTCGGCGGTGTCGACGGTCAGCCCAGTCATATCGACGATCCGCCTCGTGACGTCGGCCACGTGCTTGTGCTCGTACTCCTTCAACCATGCCGATTTGCTGATGCGATACTGGGCAACCTCCAGCTCCCCCGTCACCGAATTTTGAACCGTCGCCCTGCGAAACTGTTACGAGATCGATTCCCGGTGTGCAAATGGTGCCGGAATAAAAAATTGAACTATAAATCTCGAAGTAGACAACACCAGAGTCGTGCTATGGAGGATCTAAAGTTCTTGTTATGGGCTAAAGAGTTGCTAAAGGCTTCTGAAGTTTGTAAGTTTGACACTTACCCTCGGTTGAGCGAGACTTTTGATGGTCAGCATCTCGTCGTCGGACATGACGTCGTGAAATATAAAAATGTCCGGGTCGCGGTGAGCTTCCTCCACCTTAAAGGGCGCCACCGACAAGTGCGGCTCTCCCCTGGTCACGTACCTGCACACGAGTTTCGCTCGTTCCTCCGGCGGCGCTGCCACTTCCCCTCTACAAAGGGCCTCGTAGAGGTCCTTGCCGAACGGGTCCGGCTCCGTCGTTTCCTGAAACGGGCCGAGGGTTGAGCCGCTACCGAAAGCTCCGAAGTGGCGGTGAATCGCGATCGACATGAGACGACGATTACTTTCGATAATTTTACCCCTTGCGTTTCAACGTCCTGCGAACCGTCGTCTCCCTTTTTCATCGCGCTCGGACTAGAGGTCGCTCTCGTCAGCTCGTCCTCGTAGTAAACCTTGTTGCCCAACGCTCTCGGATGCGACGGGACCAGCTCCAGGAGCTTGTTGGTCAAGTCGAGGGCGAGAGGGATGTCGCCTGAAACCGAGCGTTACCTTTGAAAGAGCAATTTCGTCTTCGAGACTGTTTTCTTACCTTGTTTGTAAGTTGAAAACGCCAGGTACTCCAATATGTCACTCTGGTCTACCGTTTCGTTTGCCTCGCTCCCGAGTCGTGCCTCTGCCTCCTCCATCCACAGCATCGTGTGGTAATAGTCGCCGTTGTTGTAAATTTGCCTGCCCAGCTCGAAGCAATCGGCGGCAGACATTTCCGCGCTGTATTTCACCCCGTTGAGTTCTCCTTAACGATGCAAGAAAATCATTTTCATATATTTTTTTTGTTATTTCAACGAATCAGCAAAAACGAATGTTTTACCCAAAAACACTTTATTCATGAGTGGCAATCATGCGCACGAAGTCGTTGCCACGTCCCAAAAATTTCGACCTATCAGATTGCACGAAAGATTGGTATTTTCGGTCAAATTTTAAAACTTAACGTGATCCAGTTCCATGAGGTCAACCCCAACGAATGTTTTGCGGGCTGAAGCATCGGAACTGGACCTGGATACAAGGAGGAGAAAACTGGCAGTGTCCTTTCTGTCTGGAGTCCTCGCCATTTCGGATCACCCTATAACAGACCTCATAGAGAGTTTCCGAAATTACTAGGTGCCCCATACCTGGTTCAAACATTTAAAATCTAAATATCAAATAGAGAAAATGGGGAAGCCCATTTGAGAGAGAAAATAGAGAAATATATCGCCTCTAAACAGGGTGAGACGAGTGAATTAATTAATTATAAATTTTCGGCAAAACTTCACAAAGAAATGGGTATTGCCTCAGCAGAGATGGTAGCAATAAAAGAGGGACTAAGAGTTGCTCTACAAAGAGCCTTTACACAACTACTATTATAGAGTACTACAGGTCCGAGAGATGATGATAAGGGCTAAAAGTATGGGAGTAGATGTTATGATGGCCTGGATATTGGTATTGGATAGATAGATTGGTAGATATTGGATATTGGAAAAGACCTAAATATACGCTTGAATATTAAGCTGGACATAAACTGGAATAAAATTCTTAAAGATATTTTTTCGAGAACGGTGGAAAAACTCAATACAAGAAAAAGGCAAAAGATAGAGAAAATTAATACATCGTCATTTTCCTAAGAGAAGATGGTATTCTGAACTTGCCTACATAGACGCAATATAACTACGATAATTAGGATGAGTACTGGATTTATACGTAAACTTTAGAAGTTATGGGCTTAACTTACCACTTTGTGTTGAAAATATGTTATGTTATGTCTAAAACTTTGAGTTAGGAATCGAGGTCGGACAGCTAGTAACAATACTAGGGAATTTTAAATTATATGTATTTGAATCTGTTGTTTTTTCTCAGATCTGACGAGCCTGGTGCCATGGCCCACCCTAGGCCAGTAACGCCCGTCCCAAGTCCCACAGTGCTGGAGATGGTTTGTCCCTTTTTTGTTTTTTTGTTTTAGAGGTGACCGTCTTGACTGTTTGTCTTAGTTTTTTATTAGCAGCTTTTTATGCCTCTTAAATAGAAATAGAAGTCTGAAAAGTAAAATTGAAGCGAGGTGATAAGAACTGAAAGTTCAGATTTTCAGGAAATTATATATTTTGACATGACAATTGTTTCGACAACACCGTGTCTTTTTCTTTGTCGAAACAATTGTCATGTCAAAATATATTGGGTTGTTCGGAAAGTCATTTCGTTTTTTTTGGGGCACATGAAAGACAGTTTTCGTATAATGAATAAATATTTTATTAAATTGTATATTGGCCATTCTGGTCCAACACCTTTTGCCATCTTTCTGGCAGTAACATAATTCCCCTCTCATAAAAGTTTTGGTCCTTGCTGGCAAAAAACTGGTTCAGGTGGTTTTTGACATCTTCATTTGAGGTAAAGGTTTTGCCATCCAAAAAATTTTGCGGGGACCAGAACAAATAGTAGTCGGAAGGCGCCAGATCTGGAGAATATGGTGGATGTTGCAGTACGTCCCATTCAAGCTGTAAAAGTTTTTGGCGAGTGACCAAACTTGTGTGAGGTCTCGCATTATCCTGGTGGAACACTACACCCTTCCTGTTGATTAATTCGGGCCTCTTCTCTTTAAGTGAATCATTCAATTTGTCCAGTTGATGACAATAGACTTCTGAATTAATCGTTGTATTGTCCGGCAAAAGCTCAAAAAAAACGATTCCTTTGACATCCCACCAAACGGAGAGCATCACCTTTTTTTGGTGAATGTTGGCTTTTGACACGCTTTGAGCCGGTTCATCTTTTCTGCTCCATGACCTCTTGCGTTTAACATTGTTGTATACAACCCATTTTTCGTCCCCAGTAATAATCCGCTTCAAAAATGGATCATTTTCTTGACGTTTGAGGAGCGAATCACACACGTCAACGCGACGACACAAATTTCGCTCCGTAAGGACATGGGGCACCCACACATCGAGCTTCGAGGTTAAGCCCGTGCCTTTCAAATGGCCATAAACAGTCGAATTCGACAAATTTAATCTCTCACCGATCTCTCGTGTAGTTATTCGCCGATTTGCATCAACTAATGCCTTTATCGCATCTTTGTCAGCTTCGACCGGCCTTCCAGACGGTGGTGCATCTTCGACATCAAAATTGCCGGATCGAAATTTTGCAAACCAGTTCTGGCACTGGCGTACTGTTAACACGCCTTCTCCATACACATGCGTCAATTTTTTTCTCGCTTGGACAGCATTTTTACCTTTTCTGAAGTAAAAGAGTAAAATATGACGAAAATGCTGCTTATTGCTCTCCATATTTAAAAGGGCACCAACCAAAAACTACTGCGTAGAATTAATAGAACTTTTTCACACACAAGCCTTGCAATATCAGCTCTCAAGACATATAATGGTTATGCGGCTTAAGTGTAAAGTTGGTTTCGAAAAAACGTAATTAAGTCCTCTGACGGGAAAAAACGAAATGACTTTCCGAACAACCTTATATAATTTCGTGAAAATCTGAACTTTTAGTTCTTATTTATTCTGAAAAGTAAACTTCCCCAGGAGAACAGTCTCGATTATCTGGGGTAGTTCCAAATTGCCTAGTAGCATCGCCAACCCCAAAAAGAAGAAGAATAAGAAGTTAACCTTTTGCATTTTGTTAACCTTTTTTGCATTAGCGTTTAAACATGGCTGGCCGAATTGTTTTATGTTGCAGTCACCAAATAAAGTGTAAATGAAGAAGAAGAAGAACCAATGTAATCAGAGTTACGAAGAGTGTAGGATCAGAATTGAATTAGTCCTTGAAATATGTGACAAAGGAATACAAGAGCGAATTTTTTATTTGTGGATTATTGTAATTTGATTGAACTTGGCAAGCAAAACATAAGAATATCGAATCCAGGCTAGAATCGGTATCAAAAAAATTAAGCGTTGTGCCAGAAACAAGGACACTTTTCCGAAGCGTGCTTCAAGAATAAGAGTCCAAAAGATTTAAGTTTTCCCACAAGAATAACCCAAGTGAAGATCAACAGCGGACATCAACACCCCTACAAAAATAAAAACTCTACAACATTAAATTATTAAACAACTTCATATTAATGATTGTAAAAGTGAAAAAATTCAATTAATTGTTGGTATTAAACTTTGTTAATTGGGATTAAATTGATAAAAATTAAACTTAATTCAGGAGCAGAGATAAGCACATTAACTTATTTCGCTTATAAAACTGTAATGTAAAAATGTAATGTAAATAAATCACCAAAAGAGTTTTAAAAAATCCTTCTTACTTAAAAGAGCTCCATTTTTCATCGGAATCAGAGACTTAAAAAAAAGATATCGTATAAGTTGGCAATATTTTAAGTTAGTTTATGAGAACTTGACGCTCGTTAAATCACAAAAGTACGGAAGTTTATAATATGGTTTTATTAAGGGAGTTTGGTTATTATCGGCTTGAACCGACAAATAAATAAGTTCCCATCCATAACGGCATAATGTAAATGGACTTACCTCTGGCGAGTGACGAGGTCTCGAGTCTGTAAGTGTCCTGCAGCCTTGTCAGGGCCACCGCGGCCCCGTTCAAGTCCTCATCTGTCGGAAACTCCATGGTATCCCTGAAGTAGCTAATGTTCGCGAGCGCATCTAAGGGAACGTCCTACTCATCTACCCGCCCTCTTCCGTCCGTTTGGCCGAACTTACCCGCGTTCACGTTGGTCGCTATCAAGGCTTCCACCTGCGACCAGTCGGTGGTAAGTCTCTTTACCAGGGTGTAGGCGTTGATCGGGTTGGCCAAGTAGGACTGGACGTCTTGCGTCGCCCTGTCGTGTTGTTTCTGGTAAACGTCGGCGTATCTGTAACAATGGCGCACGTGGCGAATGCGAATCATCGCGAGACGACCCTACCTCTTCAGCAGGTCGAGTTTTTGTTCTTCGGCCCTTATGTAGTTTTCCAAGGTGCTTATAAGGACCGACTCCGTGTCGAGTAGGTGTTCCATGTCGACCAGCGCCGTGAAAACTTCACCGCTCGCGTGACGGTGTAGCAACGACAATGTTAAAACTAGGATGTGCTGTTTTAGCATAATGACCGTTGTCGATTTCTGTAACTCACAAACTTATGAATAATATCGCAACAAAAATCTGGTATAGAAGTGACAAGTGAGCTTTGCAGTCTATGTTAAAGGTAAGAATATAATTTCTTTTGAGGAAGCTTATCACCATAAAAGCATACTTATGTACACTAAATTAAATTGAACTGAGGTGGTAAAATGGTAAAATCTCGGAACCCAGGGCCAGTCAATGAATCTGTATAACAAGTGTTTGACTGCATTATTAAAACCTCAAATAAAAATGTTAAAAAAAATTTGGCCGTCCTCGATTACAACAATTTACTGTAAAATGAAAGGCGCAAGGGGGAAAAAATGTTTACAGTAAAGATCTTAATTTTGTACATAATAAATTACGTTTGCAGAGTAAATTCAATGTCAATTTATTAGTTTTCGCAAAAAAATGGTTTACAAAAGAAAATTTAACCTTAACTATATCGATTATTGTTCATTATTGCCGTCGTCGTCGTCGATTTCGTTGATGTAGATTGTAGGTAAAGGATTAGTACAGCTATCACCATTGCATTCTAAGCAAGCTGCAGTGCAGTTTAATCCACTTTTCCTGCACCCACAAGATGCTCCACATCCTGTTTTGCATGCGCAAAAAATAATTTTTAGTAAAGATTCTGGAGCTGGTCGCTGCGGCATTGTCCCCCATTCTTCTGGTGATATTTCTTTTCCGAACCATGTTTGAACTTGTAAATATACTCTTTTGAAGTGTTCAAAAGCGGCATCCGCAGTAGGTGGTAAAGACGGCAGTTTAACGCGGTTATTTTTGGCAGTTGCTTTCAAAAAAGAGTTATATCTCAATGCGTTAAGATCTTTTATTTTTTGGGGGGCGTTGTATGAAGCAAGAGTGCATGTAACACCAGCTTTGAAAATTTTATCGATGTATTTGCATTCATTTTTGAAAACCGTCGCAGCATTTTGCAAGTCCGTTCGTTTTTCGAACTTTTTTGCAAACACGTTTTTGCCACGTTGAAAAAAAGCTGACGTATTTCATATTGTTGTTTCTTAAAACATACGATTGTATTAAATCCAAATTTACTGGGGAATACAATATTATCCTCATAATGGTTCATTAACCTCATTTTTATCGTTTTATCATCAGGAATATGATCAATTCTCACAATACTTTTTAATTCTTCCAGTGAAAACTGGCAGTCATCATTTTCTTCAATATATTTAAAAATCTGCTCCATTGCTGCATCAACTTGTATTGTGATCGGATGAATTTTTTTATCCCTCTGGGTCTATTTTACGGTAGTTTTCAATCGCATATAACAATCCGCGTGATACTTAGCGTCCTGAGCTACTAGATCTAACACACCTACAATTCTTTTATGGATATTGCGACAATGTTCGCTTTTCTCTTCGCTTATCAAATTTAAAATAGTTTGCTTGAACTCAGAGGTAGTTACGTAGCTGATTTGCTGTCTTACCGATTTGGACTTTCTTCTTTCCTTCATTTCATCCGCTTCTTTTTCACATAAAAAACACTTATTTTTCCAATCAAAATCAGTAGAAGTAGCCGTTCGCAGTTTTTTTTATGGGTGGAGAGCATGTTGATGTGGTGTTCTTTTTTTTTAAATAAGCATTAATACATCCTTTATTGATATATTTTTGTCTGCATACTGAATGCACGTAGACAAACACAAAAAGTAGAAAATTAAATATATTGGAAGCCATGGAGATAAACAAAATGAGACATTCAAATGTACTGCTTAACGATCAATTAGATGTAAGTACCTCTCCTTTATTGAATTTAAATTCTCACAACATTAATTAGGGTTTTATGGTCATTTTTCGATATACATAGTAGCAGGTAGTTTGTAAATATTACATTTGAATAAGACACGGTGTTGTCGAAACAATTGTCACGTAAAAATAAAAAATTCGTGAAAATCTGAACTTTTGGTTCTTATTTATTTTTACATTAAATTACGTGCAAAAAAAAGAAAGCGTCTCGAATGTTGTGGTTATTTGAACTCGATGCGCTCTGTCATATTAATTGCATTTTTTTTTGTTGATCTAATATTACAACTTATTAAATGGGTGTTAAATTTTGCGAGACATGAAAACAGGTTCGGTGGCGTTAATAGAACGGAGATATTATCGAAATGCAAATCTCATCGTCAAGATTTATTGTCAAAGTTGCCATTCGTTTCCAGTTTGCGCGATATCCTCTTTCGTCGAAAACAATGACGGTGAATCGTAATCGTGCTGAATCTGAAAGCTCGGTTTCGCGAAAAAAAAAATACCGATTGCCACACGAGACGAGAAGACGCCTGCTTTTTATTTCGCCAAAGGTCGCGTGCATCCAAAGTAAACAGCGGGTCGTGTGAAAGTTTCGATTCTGTTAGGAAAAAAAACGCCATTTTAGTCCGGTCGAGTGCGTTTCCGATGTACCTTGGGCTATAGCAGTCATTGGAGAGAACTAAAATCGTCTCTTTGAGACATCTTCGAGGAATGAATAATGAAAGGCTCCAAACCGACAAGTAAAAAAAACTGTTACTTCTAAGGCTGAAAAATGCAGTCAAGATTTAAGAAGATAAAAATAAACTATTGGAAAATAAATTGTAGTATTTCTCTAAAGGCAAAAAAAAGCCTGGAAGTCTGCGGTTAAATGTTGGTTTCATGGAAATCACAACACGTCGCATTACACGTTCTTGTTTAGTGAAATTTACGTTAGAAACAAAATAAATCATTACGCGGTGAAGAAATCGATAGTACAACAGAAAAAAAAAACTTTCATGATGCATATAGAACGGAAAATAACCTATCTGTCAGTTGTCAAAAGTCAACTGCGTCACGACTATCGATGCTCCGTGACTGTTACAAATATGTCAAAAACGAAGAACGCTCTATGCTTTTTGGGAATTGTGTTAATTCATCAAGAAATTTCTCAGATTTTGCTGTGTATTCGAGTGAACAGCGAGTGAAAGGCAATTCGATCAGGAGTTATATTTTGCGACCCGCACGCAAAGTTGAATTGTTGAAACTTTTTCGGTAACGACAGCGTGGGAACGTGCGTCGAGATAATCTAGTCGTCGTTGCAAATCGAAAATGTGATTAGAGAAGACCATATAGCTAATGATAAAAACTGATTCGCTCCAGGCGGCTATGACATTTGCGTGTGCAACATGCATACCCATGGAATTTTGCGCCATTTTCTTTCTAAATTGCAACGCATTTAACTCGTTTTCTCCACGAACATTTAATGGGATTTGAGTATGCCTGAAAAAATTCCACTTGTTTTTCTTCTTCTTTTTTAGCGTTTTCCACTTTTGAACATAAACCCCTTCAAGTTCCTTCTTCTGTTATCATCCGTCCATCTCATTGGTGGCCTTCCACTGGGTCTTCGAAACCAGGACTGATTTGTTAGGGCTTTGTGCACTAATTCTTATCTTTTTAAGGGATATTCCCAGCATTGTCCTTTCCATTGCATGTTGCGTGACTGTTAGAATGTTCATGTCCTTCTAAAAACTTTAGTTCTTAGATGTAGTTGAATTTGTTGGTTCTTCTGTATATAGCTTAGTTTTCCAAAGGCTGCCCAAGCTAGTGTTCTTTTTATTTCTTCCGAAGAACGGTTTTTTGGCCTAGATATATTATTATTATTACGTTATTAGCTATTAGCTAGGCCACATCCAAACTGAAAACTGTCGAATTTACTGTCAACGGCCATGTTGGCTGTCATACGCCGCTAGATCTTATTCGTCTATTATTATTTTTGCAAAGGCCCGAAATATCGGCAAACAAATATTTTCGTAATTTTTGCACAATCTAGCCTTTTCAATTAGCTACACGCTCGGCTGAGCGCGGTGATTCGGCGCAAAACAACATTTCGGCGTAAATATGAAGGACGCCCGTGTAAAATAATATAATTAAATTATTATTACTATGTATTTGAAGCTCATCCTACCGGATCTGTATAGTTATGGTTGCATCATTTGCGTTTTTTTCACTGCCTTATTAACGTTCGATTTTTCGATTGGTGAAAATTATACCCCTGGCAGTTAAGACATCGGTTTTGGTTGTTATTTTTTGGTGAAATATTGATTCAGGCAGCGAATGAAATATTAAAAAAAAATGGGAATATTTCAACAATAAAAATTAATCGAAACCGAAATCTTATCAAAATCCTGCAATCTAACCCGCGCAAAGTCGAACCAGTCCTGTATGGGTCTCATTAAAAAATAAGTTCGCAACTGTTGCTCAGATTTTACTAGGCAACTGTTGCATCTATTTAGGTTGAAGGTATAATCACGCAAACTCGACACATATTTTTGCCGATTAAGGCAACATTGGAAGGTAATTTTTAAAACTGTTTAGATTAGTAAACCGCATGATTATTGTTAGTAATGCTACTAAGACAAGCGGGTGTTCTACAAATGAACCGAATAAAGTTTTCTTATTTGCAGTTCATGATCCTTTTCCTTTCCTAGCCTTAAAGAAACAATACGAAAGTCGTATGTATTTCTCCTATGACGTATATGCCAATATATCAAAAAACGACGTCGCCGCCGCCTACATCGTAGCCCCGCATAAATAATAAATGATATTTCGATAAAAATTTTCAACGAAAAGAAAAAAAAGGCACTTCTAAAGTGGGCAACGCAAAACAGACATCATTTGTTCTGGCAGACGTGTAACTGGTAAGTCTTGCGTCCACTTTAACATTTTTGAAATTTATTTATCTTAATAAAAATGATGTCAATTTATAAAATAAAGTAAATATCGAAGTTACGCCCAATTAGGACCAACACTGATGACGAAAACTGTTGCCTACTTTATATAGATCAACGACTTCAGCATGTCCCATAATAACCAATGCATTTAATTGCTTATCCGATCGGGCGCAATGTTTATCTTCGACTGGCCAAAGCGCCGCAGACTTAATATAGTAATGAGATAATACCAAACAAACGAATTTGACATTAACAAATCGTGCGAGTTTAAAACAATTAGAAGCTTGAACACTCGATCTCTCAAGTTTTAATTAAACTTACTCTCAACAGGGCCAGAATTCAATTCTCGTACTTTCCGGAAAACTTATTTATCGCGACAATATCGGCTTCATCGACGCACAGGCTCCACTCACACCCAAGCCTTCGTTCCCACTGCTTAATATAAACATGTGTTTAGCTCTTCAATAATCTTCAAACATCGAATATTGCAGTTTCGTTTCGATCGCGACATCTCTCGACGAAACCTTGTCAACAACAACCAACGTTAAAGGTGTCTGAAGCAAAGCGCCCTGTGCAGTGGTGTCGCGTACTAAACAGATGGCGGCAGTGTTGCTTTTTCTTTTCGCATTATGCGAATGAGGGAGCTTATATCTTTCGCGCGCCCATATTCTAAATATCTAAAGCATACGTATTGGTTTAAACACAATTATAACCTATATTTATAAAATTTGTGATTCCGGAAGCTGTCGCAGGGTATGAGACCCGCGGTACCACGCCAATGCTTCGTTTTTGGTCGACGCGAGCCTATTTGCTTATTCATCGCGATGAGCCATCGTCCTAGAGTCTGTAAAGGTCTTGACAATGAAACGCGACTTATTTTATTCAGTGCCAACAAAAAAATTTAACGAGGCTCCGACCTGCAGTAGTCAGGTAGAGACATTTTCGTTGTCTTACTTCTTATTTCGACGCTGGCGTAGGGGGGCGGTAGGGTGAGTACCACCATTTAAAGCGTAGAGGTGTGAAGGTACTTTTTTGGTTTTTTCTTTTTATATTGGCTATACCGTAAAACTTATTTATGTAGGTTGAAAGGAAAATTTCCCGCCGGTTATTCTATTGCTACTATTTTTTTCATCAACCTGCGTTAGTAATTGTCGAAATGGCAAATAAAATTCGTTAAAAAGGCCTCCAATGAAAGTTAGCTGCTTTAAATGACCAAGAATTAACGTACAATTTAATATGTCGAATTTCTACTTCCGGATTAACCGGAAGAGATAAAATATGTATAGTACTTTCAATGGCTGTGGCCTAATGGCGGCTACCGCTCCTAAGTTTACATTACTATTAAAAAAAAAATCTAATTCCCACGGATCCGAGCCACTTCGGACATTTCCGAAATTTTACCGCACGCATTTGGGAGCAATCGGATGTTTTCGGAGACGCTTTGAATTTTTGAGGTTTGGTAATTCTGACCGTCATGTCAAATGTCATTTACCGCACTTGTTGCATAATATACTATAAAATCCGCAGCATCGTAGACCTGGCTTGTGGACTCACGGCCAAGTGCTAAATGAGAAAGTGTGTTAAGTGTCCTAACTTTGGAGATATCAACTTCAAATTTAGCAGAGAAGTAAAAGTCCGTCTCCACATTTAAACGGTAGAAATCGCGTGCAATCAAACTTTACCAAGTTTTTTTTTAATATTTTTAATTTTTTTTATTTGGTCGTTTTAGCTTTTAGAAAAATATGTTTTCCTCCATAATCGTTCACCCGATCCGCAAAATTCTTTAACCAGCAGACGCGGAAGATCGAGTGCCATAACAGTTATTTCAGGCATTTTTTCGATTATATACAGGGTTTTCAAATTATAGGCAAAAATGTAAAAGGTCTAAAAAATTGTTCTTTTACAGAGTAAATTACTAGTCACAAATAAAAAGTCGTAAAAAATATGGCTAATTGGTTCAAACAGTGTCATAGGTCGCATCAAGAGCTACAATTTTTGTGTTTGCGGTTTTCGTCTATCGCATGAGCTGCTCGGGATATTTGCAAAAATCCATATTGAAATCGTTATTTCGGGGGCTGTCAAGACGCGATGACGTCATTGATTATTATGACACACTGCATGGTTTCTAGAAAACCATTTACTATTTTCAAAAAATTCTTGAACCAGGAAACGTGGACGATCCAGGGCTATAACCCCTACTTCGAGAAATGATTGTATCGTATACAGGGTGTGTCGTTTATGAGCAAAAAATCTAAAATATCCTAAAAATTTCCGGTTTTGTGGGTAAATTATTGGCGATAAACGAAAAACCGTTAAAGGTGGGATAATTTTATTTGAACAGTATCGTAAAGCGTGTCGCGAGAGTGTTTTTCGTCAATTATACGGGGCGCGAGATATTTGAAAAAATATCATTCGACCACGTTGTTATTTGTGCAAATTTTAATGTTTACCGATGTTTGCTGTAACTTTAAAGTTCGACGAGATGTGAAGGACATTTTATGCAGGGTGCATGTTCCATAGTGGTCCGCAGGAGCACGATAGAAAAACAATTTACTACATGAAAGAGCGTCGAAATGCTCTAGTCTAGTACTGCTCCATGGTCAGCACGAAAGCGGTTTTAATTCGGGTTTTGTTAAATGCTGGACGGACTAGAAAACATCCCCGGATGCGGAACGGTTGCTCCGGGGCTATTAGTTAACGCGGAAGATTAAACACACGTTGCGGCCAGTTTTAATTGAGGCAATTCAGTTCGCATTCGAGGCTAAACTTTAACGTCGAGGAAAAGTTCGCTCAAGCAAATAATGCGGCCGTTATATTCTGCATACGGATTTTTGACATCGTTACTTTTGAAGCGGTAATACATTCCTCTTGAATTTCACGTAACAAGTTTTATAATAAAAAAAAAGCAACGGAACTTTAATTAAGTGAGGCACGGGGGAGAGTACGGGCCGTTTTTTTTTTGAGTTGTGCTTTTTGTGTTGGAGACTGTTTAGCACTAGATGAATATAATAATGAGCAAATTTATTTAACTAGCTTTGCGCCCAATTACAGAAAAATGTAAATAAGAGAAAAATAATGAAAACATAGTACAAAATACAAGGAACCTATTACTCACACAAGTACTCTAATCAGTTATAAGCTCTGCGCAACATATGTCTGAAACAGTATTGAAGGTACCACACATAAATAAAATTGGTGTACGTGGTACGTGTGTTCTCTGTATTACATTGAATCGCGTGCGAATTATGCAAAATATGTGCGAGTCTAGTGTATCTCAGGAGATGCTCCCGCCCAAACGTAGAAAACGCTGTCCTATTGAGACCAAGGAAGTTATACACAATGTTTATTTGACTCTCATTGAACGTGGTGCCAGCCCGTCTTTAGAAGAAACGGACACATCGACGAAAATTCCAACATAAACTGTATGGAAAATTGTGATTAATCCCGTTTCAGCGAGGAAAAAAAGGAGCGATGCTGACATTTTCTCAAGATATAAATAAATAAAATTTACCAGTTATACGAGGAACAAAGCGTGCGTACATTAGATATCTTAATTAGGAGACTTGAAAAAGATGTTAAATGTACTACCTTATGGAAGTGTATTCAACACATGGGTTTTAGATTTAAAAAAATTGACAAAAGCCAAGTTTTAATGGAATCCTTTAGAATTCGGAAATGGCGACTGGAATATTTAGAAAATATTAGGATTTACAGAGGACAACAAAGGCCAATTATTTACTATAATAAACCTGGTTCGACACTTATGATACCCCGGAAAAGGGTTGGGTTGACTCAACCGATAAGTGTAAAACAAAGGCGCCATCAAAAAGAGGTAAAAGAGCAACTAATTTGGCTCTAAAGATGGTTGGATTCCAAATGGACTGTTTCTGTCTGCGAAAAATATTAAAGATTCTTCTCTGGATTACCATGAAGACACCACCGCTGATTTATTTGAAAGTTGGTTTAAAAACAAACTAGTTCCAAACATTCTTCCTAATAGCGTCATTGTAATGGACAAGTTATCACAGTAGACAGTTGACTAAAACCCCTTCCTCATGTGACACAAAAGCAAGAATCCAAAACGAAGATTATACCAGAAAGCAATCAATTGAGGTTCTACAAAGCTTGAACCTACAAAAGGAACACATCTGTGATAATTATGCAAAAAATCTAGGGCATACAGTTTTAAGGCTTCCATCTTACCACTGTATATTTAATCCCATTGAACATGTTTCGCACCAGCCGAAATCTGCCATTCGTCGTAACAATGTTTTCCCCGTGTTAACTCCAATGTCCTCAAACTTATAGAAACCGAAGTTTTTAACATCCCTCCACAAAGTTGGACAAATTCAGTTAAACATATAGAAAAAGCAGAACAATCGTATATCCATATTGCAAACAATATAGAACAAATAACAATTAGAATGGGCGATGATACTGATATATTATATGAATAATTGTAAGTAATTTAAGTAGGTAATAAAAATAATTTGTAATTTTATTTTAGATTTAAACATAAATACATACATAAATAAATATTGTTTAGTATCTTTCCTAACAAAACCCCAAATAATTAAATTCTGAGCAAAGTACGGACCTGTTCGGCCATATTTCATTCTTACAGCTTGCCCGGGCCTTTCCTCAATTCGTTTCAGTGAGTCACTCTCTTATATCTATGAACAGACTTTACCCTTTTCTTATAACGCTTTAACATTTCTAAGTAAGAATATTGAGGTTTACCTGACACAGAGATCTGAATTATGGCAAATAGAAATAAAAAACAGTAGCAAATATCTTGGTACCCTATTGGACACACCGCTGAAATGGGATATTCATGTTTAAACACTAGTTAAAAAAATCAGATCCCTACTATATATTTTTAAGCAAACGAGATTTAATGTCTAACTGTTTTTTGGGTATTAAGTGAAATAGCTCATAACGAGTACTTGGGGAACACCAAGATATTTTTTAACAGGCAGCAGGCGACAGCGTTCCCCGTACTAAAGTTTAACCTAAAAAAGTAAAGTACAGGCATACTGGTGTTCTGAAATAAATTAATAATAAAAAATTAAGTTTTGTAAAATTCAGGTTACGATAAATATAAATAGAAGCAACATAATATAAATATACGAGAGACCAACCACCGAAGCTGTTAGAAATTTTATATTAAAAACAAAGCAGGCAGTCTATTTTATCATTTCTGAAATTACTATTAGTACTATAGTACGCTTTAATGAAAGCACAATTCAACAGAAAAGTGTTGTAAAATTCATCGGAGTTTATGTAGACTGGTTCGAACAGATCGACCGCATTCTCAGAAAACTTTCTGTTTACTGCTTTGTCATATGGGGGCTCCGCCATTAATACGTATTCGTTGATTGTTATTGTTTATACATTTGTTATTTATCCATCAGTATTACTTATTATTATTATTATTAGTAATTTA